GACTACTTGAACCATGGCATGTAGGAGAAAACTAATTAACTGATCATAATGTTGTTGAGAACATGGATGCAGGGCGTGAAGTTCCTATTTTCCCTTCTCTTTCCTATTTTTTGGCCTGCTTCCTATTTCCTCCTATTTTTTCAAGAAATTCCTTTTTTTTCCTATTTTATATAGCCTTTCTCTTTGTGCATGGAAACGTTGTGAAATAGTTGAGATAAAATTCTCAAAGTGACTAAAGTGATAAATTTTACAAAAAACTCAATGTCAAACAGACTTGATCATATTCGTCTGAAACTTGTGGTAGCATTCAAGGGGTTCTAGGAGGTGCATCCATAACTTTAGTGACAGTGAACTTTGATATTGTCCTTAATCAGTGCAACCACAGTTTTAAACAATTCCCTGTGTTTACCTCTTTATCTCACACCATTCCCACTTATAAAGGGAAAAAGCATCCCGGGAATGTGGCTGTAAATTAAAGACATCTTGTGAAGTTCCATGAAATTTAAAAATAAGCTATGGGCTTACAATTTGCTTAACTTCCGTTTCAGGTGTCCTTATTTTTAGGGAGGGCCTCTGTGTATATGGGCGTGTTATTAATTTTTCAGATGGAAATTTAAGTTTAAGAAATGTTTGGATTATATTTCAAAGGGATCAGAGCATACTCAACTTGAATACACTGTATTGGCCAAACTGAAACTGCTCAACAGTTAAGACTGAAAACTAACCAATCAAAACTAATGACAAAGTTTCCTGAGAGGTCAGCAACATTTACAACTTTGTTAAGCATTGATTTTATTTTTGGTGGAACTATTGTTTGTGTTCTTTAACGTTACTGGTTCGTTTACGAAAAAGATTACTACATCCTTTGTTCTCACTTTCATTTTTCAATTAATATGTTTTCATTGGTTAAATACAGGGGTTTCAATAAGGGTGGGGTACAGGGCAAATTGACTGGCTGTGAGGATGATTTTGCCCACCTGGTTTGACCATCTAGAGGAAAGTTTTTCTTAGAACGTTCAAAGGTCAGTTTGAAAAGTTTTGCCCGCTTGTGAAAACCAGTTGCTCTCCTGACGAAAATGTTAATGAAACCCCTGCCAAATGGCGTGGTTCAAGGAGTCGCACTGCACCTACAGCAAGAGAAGCCACATAATAGTAGTAATAATACTAATAATACTAATAAGTGGTATTATTATATGGCTGTGTCTCACAAGGACTGGGAACTACCGAATTCACGAATTTGATTGGCTGAAAT